CCCTGGCAGAGTGATTAGGTATCAGTACAGTAATAAATAAAATAAATAAATTGTTTCGACTAACACTCCAATACTTAGCGTACTTGTAACGTGTGCTACTAGTTAACGCCTACTAGTTGCCCCAAACTAAGCGTACTTGTAACGTGTACTACTAGTTAACGGATAGACATACTTATATATAGATAGAAATATCCATGGCTTGGGAACAAATGCTCTTAATCATCACATAAGCATTTGCCCCTTACGGGATTCAAACCCTAGATACCTGGCTTCGTAGTCCGGAGCGCAAAACATTCAGCCAAGGAGGCTGGAGTAGTATGAACAGTTAATGTAAAAACAAAAATAACAGCAAAAGTAAAATCATATTTCAAATCCGTGACACTCAGTAACACACAAACCCACACGTTTTATAACTTTGTTGATCAGAGAACCTAAATAATTACCTAAGTATACTAGTAGGTACATATTAAGTCAATTTAACACACCATTGTTCCGCACTGCACTGTGTTAAACAAATGAAAAATTCGAGGTAGGTTGGTGTCTTCGATGTCATTCGCTGTTTATTTTCATGGACTTAGGATTTGGCTTGTTATTTTTTGTGAGATCTGACCCCGGTGAAAGTGTCAATAATTGTGGTAGCAAAATACCAAAATTTTAACTAATCTTACCTTTTATGTCACTTTTATGTAGGAAAAGCTGATTTACTTCAGATTTACATGTTTACTCAAACATGATATTTTATCCATGGCGTCAAAGCTTAATTCGCTTAACTACGGTGTAGCGGTAAAATATAAAATGCGGCACGCGTACGCGTCTTTGAAATTGCTCAGCGCGTCCCTGGCTATTTGAATTTGAACTTATTATTATTATAATACATACGAGTTTGCAATGATTGTTTGCGTGTTTTCAGACTAATTAAAACAGGTGCCAGCAGTCGCCTTTGGTAGCGACGCGACACTATCACGACTGCAATATAATCTTTAATTATCTGTTTTAAGACAGATTTTAAGTTGAAACAAAAGTTATTGTGTACAGTAAGGGACCTCTTGAGTAAACTCTTGAGTAAACAAGAAGGTGCCTCTCGTGGCGCAACTTGCTGCTACGCTCAGCGTTGGCCATAAAACGGATGCAGGGTCCTTAAGACCGCTGGCGCTGCGAGCGACTCATTTTTGGAGGTGTCGCGAGAGGCGCTACTGTGAAGGCCCAGCGCTCGTGTGCGCTACACACCCTGCACCATAGGTATAGTCGACTCTGTACATAATTTTACTCGGTTGGCGTTAAGTTAATCCCAGAATCACTTTCAAACGTGGTGAAACACCTCATTATGATTTAGCGTTAATATTTACATACCTTATTGCTATGTTGAAAATAAAAGTCGATAGATTTTTAAAAAAAGAAGAGAAAGAGAGAGAGAGCAGGAAGGTCGACTTGTAAGCCAAAACTGAGGTTTTTAATGGTTAAGGATTAAATGATCTCATTTCAAAAATTCCAAATAAATGTTGATTATGCGTAAGTAACTCCTTTTACTACTAGGCTCTTAATTTAACTGTAAATTCTATTTTGTATGTATTTTTATTTAGGTAGTGGACATACACTTGTACTTTGGCCGTGTTAAGTATTATGAAATTTAAAACTTCTTCACATTATGTTGATGAGACAATTTGGGAAGTTCTTGGGAAATTTCTACGATAATTAGACAGTAGCTTTTCAATGGTTTATCGTTACGTGTAAAGCTGTCGACAAAACCTTCCATAAACTTCGCAATACGAAGTATCAGAATATTGTTAAGAGGAGTATTACAAAAAACGCGAAATTTGAAGGTTTTCTCGTTGAAATTATATGTTTTCCGTTCCTTGCTTGAAATAACAATTACTTGGTGAAAATAGTTTGTTTTATCTAGTAAAATAAGCTAAGAGCAAATTTTAGATAACTTATTAATTCATTTACTAATAATGATTCTGCCGATGCATGTTTAGACCAAAACTCTGAGAGACTTGAATTAAGAGCTCTAATTTGTAAATTCTATTGAATATCGATTATCAAAAATATTTTAATCTCACAAATATCATATACTTTAATAATGAATAATACATTTTCATTGAGCGTTAACCATTTGAGCTGGTAGCTCAAATGGTAACGCTCGCTGTAAATATAACAGAACGCGAGTAACTCGGGTTCGATCCCCGCCACCACAAATGAAATTATTAATTGCAATTTTAAGTGCTGATTTACCACGTGTTCGACGGTGAAGGAAAACATCGTGAGGAAACCTGCATGTCTGAGGAATAAGAAAAATTTTTTTTCGAAGACATGTGAGGTCCGCCAACACACACTGGGGCAGCGCGCCGGACACTTCCTTGCCCTAAAACCCTCTCAGAAATGAGGGGAGGCCTGTGCCTAGCATTGGGACGTATATAGACCGTAACTTTTTTTACATTTTTGTTATATACCTTTCACGTAAGGATACAAGCCCCAATATCAATCCCGAAGTTCTACATCATTTTGACGTAAAATTTATACCAAAATAATTATCAACATTTGCTTAAAGTACATTATCTGGGGGCTGGGCAGTGCCCCCGCCAAGTCGAGCAAAAAAGCAGCACGGCCGAACCATACTTTTCTCAAAGCAATTTAGGCCATTTTCGACCCTCTATAACTTCGTAGTGGATAAAACTAGAAGCCTGAATTTTCAGTAACCAAGTAGGCATTATATAAACATAATGTATTTCAAATTTCATTCAATTTGAACAAGTAGTTTAAGAATTATAACTAGTCAAAGTTTTTCAACTTTGTCATTCACTGACTGACCGATCATCAAAACTCAAAAAAACTCAACAACACTTCTAGCAGACATAGAAGATTCAAATTTAGATTACAATTAGTGTTTAGTGTATAAATCAAGGAAAAACTAAAATATTTGTTAATTTCGGTCCAGTTTTCTAGATACACCAAGTGCATAAATAACTTTGTAATTTTATATAAATATATAGAATTACAAATATACATTTGCAGTGAAGGAATCAGTGTACTTGTATATGTATAATAGGTGTAGATAGGTACGTTTTCGGTATTCAAAGAGTAGAAGGTACCAGAAAGGTAAAAAAGTAGGACTATCTTATCTACAAAAAGAAATGAGATGCCATCAAAAACAACTTGTAAAAAAACAAAGTCTCGCAACTCAGTTCTTCTAGCGTCAAAAGTTGTGAGATCCATGTAATACCAAGTCAAGTACTTAAGGATCCTTCTGTTTTAAGTTATTACGTAATTAGCAAACCTAACAACATTTTATAGTAACCATATCAATGTTAAAAATCTTTTATGTTTTAAATATATAGATTGACTAGGCCATCGTACTAAGCAATCTAATTTAATATAATATGTATTACTTGCACATATTAATTCTTCATTTCCCCTAAACTTGCACAGATTATTGTAAGTTACATTGTGTTTTCATGTGATGGCAAAGTCAGTCTATATCTATATATTTAAAAGATAAAAGATTTTTAAAGTTATAAGTATCAATGTGTCACTAAACGTGAAAAAAGAAATATCCTATCTCCGGAGAAATATTAATGTTGAATAAAAATGTCTGAATGCTTGCCATGGAGGTTAAAGAACAGGAGAACGATTACGTACGTACTAAAGCATAGTTCGCCTCCCTTGATAATTGTAGAATTTATAGCGGCGCTGACGTCGGTGAGTAGTGACTGCGAAGTTAGCTGTTTATGAGTACAAGTAGATGAAGTTAGTTGAATAATGTACAAATTTTCATTTCATTTTTAATGAGATTATTTTCATGCTCCGTAATTTTGTAATTTTTGACAAAAAGAAACATTAAAAAATGGAGAAATACTTTATTGTGCGTGGATGTGCAAGTGGTTTAGCATCTTATCGGAAAAATAGACTGAAAATGACGAGAAACCTATAGACTATTGATTAGCGTGGCCTCGAGTGAGAAAGGACGATAACGTAGTTTTAGGTTATACAATAATCTTTATGACTTTTAAACATATTTAGATAAAAATTTTAATTCTTCTAAGAACTGAACTGAACAAGATTCACCAATCTTAAGCTCACAAAACACTTTTTTCTCACTTAAACCAACTTGTAAACTCCTTAAATCGCTACGAACTGTCAAAGTTGCTTAGCAAAGTGTAGTTTGCTAAACAAAAAACCGGCACGGAGAAAGGGACAAACAATCACACCTCTCTGTCTCATTTCTATGCTTGACGTATGCATAAATCTATCTTTTTCGTGTGCGAATGCGAAAGAAGGCTTCAATTTGTCTATAGGTTTCTCTGTCTACGGTTCTCCTGTTCCCTAACCTCCATGCAACGAACCAAACCAACAACAATTGGTGTGTTTGGCAGAAAAAAGCGCTAGCAAGCGCTTATAAGCGCTGACATAGTTTTCGGACAGAACATGATTGCTACTTCAGTAGCGCTGACAGAATCCGTCATTTTGCTTATTTAATTTGTTTGTTTTGAAGTAGAGTTTATAAGTTGTTTTGTGCAATATTAGTTTTAAGTAATATAATGACATGAATAAACATATACATGTTATTAAAAATTCATGATTGGTAAGTTTTTAATATGAATACTTTACAAACATATATTTAAATTAGGTTAGGTTCCCCCCGTTAAAACTAACATCGTGTCCTGGAGGAAAATAGCTACTTACGATTTGACAGCGCTTACCGCTTACGATCGCCATTTTGCTTACAAGCGCTTGCTAGCGCTTTTTTTCTGCCAAACGCACCCAATATCTATTAAATCTATTGTCTATGCTTTTTCATAGATTAAAGAATAGATTGCTTGCTTCGTTTGTGTTATTGAAATTTTGGAAAATGGGTTTAAAATGGAAGAAATCGATCATATTCGTAAAAGACTGAATTATATAATAAAGTGAAGTGATTTGATGAGTGCCATAGGTTATTTTAAATAGCATAGTGATTTGTGTTGTGTGATTGATGTAACGAATCAGTGGCAGTTGCACGCAAGATGGACGAATTGTCTAAGGGCATGTCACTAACAGGAAGCTCTTCTGTAACTGACAAAACTCAAGAAAATGATGGTAAATTTGAGCATTATCTTCTACTGTTTAGAATATTATTATATATAATGAATAATAATTTTTTTTTATTTAAAAACTTACTGCAAATTATACTATTTTGATTAATCGATAATAAAACATATCTAACAACAATATTGTCAATATGTAATAGAATAGTTTTAAATTTTTCTTTTTGGTTTATTTAATTAAAGTGCTTTCTAATAGAAAATAAGTATGGCAGGATTTTGTCTTTAATATTATTGTGGTTAAAATTTAAAACTTGAAATCAACGATGTTTATAGTTACTAGTGTAATCTGTTTATTATATTCAGAACCATTATTTGCTTACTGTAATAATTTTGATAAAAGAAATTTTCATTATTCTGCTTTATTTATTATTTTGTTTCACATTTGACCATGTCTTGCTCAATAAAAGCATATTGTGTTTATTTTGATTATTTAGAAAACACAGTTGCTGCTTGTAATTTCAGTTTGAACTAAATAAACTCTAAGGGAATTTAAATAAACCGAGGCAATTATTTTTTTTTTAAATTCATTGTCCTAAAATCTGTTGAATTAGAAGATCCTGTTTTTAGATTTCATAACAGCTACAGTGTTACCTGCTTGTTAACAAGTGTTATGAATAGTTAGTTTTATATTGATATTAGAGATGCAGCAAATATTCGCTATTATTCGGCATTACTGAATTTTTTTTTGTTATTCGTCGAATACTGAATAATAGCTAGTATTATTCAGCATTAGGTGAATAGTTATCTAAATTAACTTTTAATGAACAAAAATCTATAGACCTAAAAATAAATCAAACTTAAATTTTTCTTAAAAAACAATATACACAATATTAATTATTATCATGAATATAAAAAAATTTGCCAAAAATCAGTCATGTCATGCTGAAGTTAATTGGTTTGGCTTTTTAATTAATATTTAAAGTCTAAAAGGCTCAGATTGTGGTACAAAAAACTAGTTTTTCGGTCGGTTAAGCTTTTCTTCTTGAGTCATACCTGCTTCAGAAAATAGTCTTTCTGAATAAACAAAGCATGCTTGTGTGATTAAGTATCCTTTAGTAAGCTTACTTAAAATGGAGGATTTGGCATGATTGTTTTTCTTTTTATGTTACACTTCAACTATTTCAGACTTTAATTCAATTGAAGTTTTTAATCAAGAATATCTATCTTATAGTGGAGTATTACAAAAAAACATGAAATTACAAGGTTTCCTTGTTGAAATTATATATTTTCTGTTCGTTGCTTGAAATAACAATTACTTGGTAAAAATAGTTTCATTTTCTCTCCTACAATAATCTCAAGGCAAATTTTGGATAACTGGTTTATTTATTTAATTATAATCTCTCAATATGCATGTTTAGACCAAAACTCTGAGAGACATGATTTGGGAGCTCAAATTTGTAGATTCTATTGAATATCGACCACCGAAAAAAATATTTTTAAGTCACAAATATCCTATACTTTAATAATTATTAAATACATTTTCGTTATATGCCTCTCACATAAGGGAAAAAAATCGAAATGATCTACGGAAAAGGCCCCAATATCTCCCAACTTTCTACATCATTTTGACGTAAAATTTATACCAAAATAATCATCAACATTTGCTTAAACTCTACCATGATTTTAACATTTTAAATCGTTACTATTATTTTTAATTAACTAAATAAAAGTGCCATATATTTTACTGCCCGGTCCTCTGCGATCAATAGAGCGCGAGCGCTCGTCGAGGTTGGACCTGTATTATTTTATGTCATGCACTCCCTCTCGTATCTATATTATCGTAGTGGGCGTCAAAGGCCGTAGCTAGCCTTGCCCGGCGTCCGAATAAGGCCGGACAGAGTCAGGCTTTTTGTTTGCCAAATTAGATGGTGTCCGGCCTGTCTGGGTTTTGTTAGGCTTTTTAAAGGAGACACTCATTTTTGGGCCAACTAAAACTTTGGAAGTAACTTAACTCATAAAAAAGATACCAATTCACTATAGTAAACTGGCTAAAGATTTTATGAAAATTTTACCGGTATTGTGATAAATAATACAATTAAGAATCAATAGCTACATATAAATCACCGCAGTCTATTTATTCATGAACTGTTTTTGCCGGAACTACTAAAAATATTCTTTTGGTAGTTTCGGAGAATCCACCTAGTATTTAATATTTTGAAGAACCTACAACTTTTTTATGCTTTTTATGGGTTGGCTATAGATATCTGGTACTTGATTTTGATAATGTTTTTAGTCTAGGCTTGTTAGGTTAAGCCTGAACCTATTACACTGTTTATAGATGGCGGAAATGTGTTTTGAATTAATTACGATAAAAACAAATTTCACTAAAATTGTGTAATAACAAAACGCAAATATGTCAATTTGTTCTTGTATTATGAAGTAGCTGTCTGGTACTTGATTTTTAATTTTCTTTTCAATTTATAAGGATTGTCAGGGTTAAGCTTGAACAAAATTATAACAATTCACATTACATAATTTCATTTACCACTATCATAGTAGAGTTTTGGGCAACCAGACTTTATAGATAAGATTGGTCAAATTGGTTCTAAAACCGAATTAGCACACCCCAACTCCACGTAGTCTTGTCTGCCCTACCCCTAAAGTGTTTTGTAAAGCTGTAGGCACGGAGGGAGAGCAGGCCCCTCCCGCTATAGCGACCAATAAGCCGAAGCTGCGGAGGCGAGCATGGGTGCCTGTGATTTGCTACGCAAGGGCGAAGGGGCTGCATTTCCCGCAGTGCCGAAGCAGTTGCAGAAGTAACTGCGTCAATATTCCTGTATAAAAAAGTGAGGTTATGATTTACGAAAAAATATTCATAAACTATACATTTCCGCCAACGGGGCAAAGGTAGGGGGTGCTTCCCACGACCCTCCCCTCCCCCTCCCCATTCCCCCTCCCAACACTGTAGGGCCGCTGCAGAAGTAACTTTTTGTCAATATTCCTGTATAAAAAAGTGAGGTTATAAATTTAATAAAAAATTACTACTCATAAACTATACATTTCCGCAACGGGGGAAGGGTTGGGGGGGCGGCTTCCTATGGCCCCCTCCCAACACAGTACGCTAGTACCGGACGTCTATAGTTTAACCCTTTTTATTATTAACACTGCACTATTATAACGTAGAATATCGATAAAAACTACTAGACAGTTGCACATATAAGTTTTAGGTTATAATGAGATTGCCGTCTGATTGTTAATTTCTTAGTATTCCCACTAGATGCGGTAAAACTAATATCACTAGTGTAATCTAGAGATATTAAGTAATAAATCAACATGCATTTCATTAAGTTACGCCACAATTTGTAGTGAGCCCACTCTGCATACAAAAAGAAATTGTCTTTTTCACGTACTTACATACATAATATTGCAATAATTTAAATTAATATTTTAATGAATATGAGTGATTAAGATTTAAGATTGATTTATTCAATTGTATTGTTATTTCATTAGAATTTGAGAATATTTTATGGTAAATAATAAAAAGCATTGTTTTACTTGAAAAATAATTATGTTATTTTTCAAGTAAAACGTAGGTCATCGCCTGCTTGGGGCATAAATACCTAAATTTGCGTAACGTCGAAGGGGCTCGACTGACATCACTTCAAGCAAGCTAATCACAAATGACAAACAAATACGTGCCGCCCGACCTAACCTCCCTACCACACATGAGTGGCTAAGGAAAGTAGGCAGAGAATTAGAGTGGCAACAAGAGCGCGAGTCAAAGTACTGGCAATCGCAGTCTGAATCGAGCGCTCATTACAGAAGCATTGTTCTATTGCGATAAATAGATGTCATCCACCATCTCAGTTAGCGAGGACGACTTTTCTTTTTATGACATTGATATAATTAGCTATACTAAATATGAATATAGCTCACACCTGCCACAGTTTAAACATCCATTGTGTTATAGCAAACACAAACTAGTGCGCAGCATCTTGATTAATTGCGCGAGTAGAGCATTATGTGGGCAGAGAGGCCAACATTGCAGCAACGCGAGGAGTAGAGCGATGAGCAGCCCGGGGAGTAGAGCTGTAAGCAGTGCGAGGAAAATAGTGTGGCAGAGCCATAAACACAAGCAAAGTCGATTATGTGCGAAATCCCTTATAGTATTAAATGCTGGGTTATACAAAACGAAGTGTTCCCGTACAATTGGTACAAGAAAGGGGTTGCCAGCATTTAAAAATGTAAAATCAGTATAATATGAGACTAATTAATTGAACTTCATTGTTTCTTTTCTTAAAACCTTAAAAAAATTAGATTACAGTAACAAATAATGATTGGTAAGACTACAAGCGTGATATTATCATTTGATAACAATTATATTAATTTTTATATTCCCTTTTTATGTCGAATAATAATGGCGAGTTATTCGATTTTTGTGGTAGAGCCATGCTGCAGCTATATTAATTGTATAGTTGAAGCACGAATGGGTCGGCTCGACCGGGGAAGGACCACACTCACAGAATACCAGCATCAAATAGCAGCTTAATGCTGCTGTATTTCGTATGGTGAGTGTAGAGAACCGGAGACCCTTTTTACTGGAAAAGAGGCATTCCATCTTAGTCCTCAAGGCTGACTACGCATCTGCATTTTGATTCGCAAACGAAGATAGATGTAGATGTCTATGGGGCACAGCAACCACTTACCATCAGGTGGACTGTGTGCTCGCTTGTCACCCTTTTCCTATATGAAAAAAAAGTTATTGGATTGGAGAGAATGGTGATTAATCAGTATTTGAGTATTTGCTATAACAACTATTCATGGCATCTCTAATTGAGATGGGTATGTATGCAGGATAGTAACCCCCATTATGTACTTACATTACACAGTGGGGGAATATGCCGTCAGGTTCTGCCGCCTTATAGGAGCGGAAACTATGAATGGCCCAATGGATTTTGTCCATCGTCACCACTCTGTGCAAAATTCCAGTCTTCTTCTGTTGGTGTCAGTGCACCTTCATGCCGAGTTACCCTTTCAACTACACAGCAACCT